ACTCACAGTGACCCCACACACAGCAGAACGAAACAGAAGTGTATACCTGACCTTTTCTCTTCATCTGTCTTAGTTCGGAAGCTCTGCTGAAAACTGTTCAGTATCATAGCAACACACGAAACTCCACTGCCAGATGGGTGGTGGGTACATATGAGGTGCATTGATTGGGAATTGACCCCACGTGGAAGGTGAGAATTTGGAGCTTTTTCCAAATGCCTCCCGATTAAGAAAATCAAGGGATCCATCCCTGTGGCAGAGTAAATTAGGAAAGCTGCCTCCTTTTAGCCATTCATTCAAATGACCTCAAAGGAGACATCATTTCAATGGAGAGACAAATGGGTAGACATGGACATAAGGGAGTAAAGTAGGCTGACAACTCAGCTCTGAAAGGTATCCGGGTGCCATTATTGAGACAGGCATTGACTAGAAACAAACAGACTCAGAAGCATATCAAGTTTCTAAGGTACTTATATTTCACAAGAAACCACAAGCCTGGCCTGAAAATGTCCTCAGACACCTGTAGGAAACAAGCTACTAAAATTATACAAGCCTCAGTTCAGATGTGACCTTAGAGGATTATGGACCAAGAAGCAATCCCCAAGGACAAAATCTGGAATCATAGAGGACATGGGAATTCCTTTCTGGTTATGGACCAGAAACTGCTGAGTGTATTCCATTCTTCCTTTATTTTATTTAAATGGTTTATTGTAGTTATTTTGATCATGCTATTACAATCCAATGAATTGAGAGGCAATAATTTTATTTTCTAGGCTGCTACATGGAGTCACATTATATCCAAAGCAGAGGGCAGCACACCACACAGAGATCCTGTACTTTGAGCTAGATGCGGAAATTGGATGAGTTGCTGAGTTATTTCCCCTGATAAGAGGTGAGTGAGTCAATGTTTGGAAGAAGGGCACCGATGGACATTTGGTGATCAAAGGGTGGACTCTGGCATAGGCTAGTTGTTTACTAAAATGTATTTTGTCTTCCTTGAACAGTTATTTTTCTATATGGCATTACATGTGATATGTGTCACTTTTGGCCCTAAGCCTTAAGACATTGGGCATTCCTCTTCTATATCCCCTATACTATTTTCCCTTTCTGATTGACAGAACTCAAATATGGTAACGACTTAGCTTCAGCCATGCAAATGATTACATAACCTGGAGAATGGTGCATCAACATAATGAAACCATTTGCTGCTAAGATCTGGTTTCTCTTGATGCAGCTCCTCATTTTTCTATAGCTCCTTCTGACTTCTAGTTGGGGATATGGGCAAAAAATCAGTAGGTGGAGGAGAATTAAAATATCGATGCTCTCCACTCTCTCCCTATTAAATTATCAAAGGTTGACTGCATCTTTCTACCAATGACCACAGCCATCTGTTGACAGGATCTCCCTTTAGCTACTTTCTTCTAGTTCTAGCAGCTGCTTCTGTCTCTTGTGTCTTCAAATGTGGGAATGGAAAGAATCCTCCCATCTTGCATTTTCCACCCAATTGCTAGTATTGGGGTATTTCACTGTTCCTTGTCCCTTAACCTATCCACATCAAGTAAATAACTCCTTTTAAAGAGCCCTTCTCAGTAGCCCTGTATTTCCTGCTGGACTCACACTTGTGGGGTCTCTGAAGGGCACCACGAAGTAGAACTCCTCCACTAATCTAGACCACTCCCCTGAAAACTGTGACATGAAACCATCCTTGTTTTTTAAGCCACTGTGGGTTTTTTTTGGTTCATTTTTTCCTAGGAGTTAGTTCTTTTCATAAAGTTTTCAAATTTGTTGGCAGAAAGTGGCTCATCAACTTCTCTTTTTATCTCTTTAATGTCTATAGCAACTGCATTTCTCATTTTTCATTTCTGACATTAGATATTTGAGTCATTCTTTTTCCTGATAGGTCTCAACGGATGGTTTTTATTAATCTTCTTAAAGAATGAACTTTGACTTTGTCCAGCTCTCCATTGTATGTTGGTTTTCTGTTTCATTGACTGTGTTAGTTATCATAACAAACAACTCCAAAGCTCAGCACTTTAAGACAGCCAGAAACTTTTATCATGATATGAGTGAGCAAGGTGGAATCTGCCTTTTAAATAATAATTATAATAATAATGTAGCCTTGGAACTTATACATCATCATTTCTAGACTATCTTATTGGTTACACATCAATCACATTTGATGTGGGATGGACTGTGCAAGTGCATTAATACCAGAAAGTAAGCATTACTGGGGGCCACCTTGGAGCTGATTACTTATCCACATTAGTTTTTGCTCAGATCCTTACTGTTCTCTTTCTCAAACTGTCTTTGCATTTATTTTTTTGTTCTTTTTGATCAGCAAAAGAATGAATGCTTACTTCTTTAATATCAGGCTTTCTTTTTTTTAATATATACATTTAAGAGTATAAATGTCATTTGTTTCAATTTTAGCTGATTCCTGAAAGATTTCCTATATAGAATTATTTTATTTTTCAATTTAAATCATTTTCTAATTTCTATTTTGACTCATGGGTTATTTAGAATGATTACTTAATTACCAAATCTATGGGATTATATTGTGGTCAAACAACATATGCTGTTATTGAGACCTGTTTTATGGCCAAGGATATAGTCACTTGATAAAAGGTTCATTTGGTCAAGATGTTAATTGTGTGTTTTAAAATCTATCCTTGCTAATTTGTTTTATCTACTATGTATATCAATAAATAAGAAATGTGAGTTAAAATAAACTATTATGATAGTCAATTTGTATTTTTCTCCATATACTTCTGTCAGTTCTTACTTTATATACTTTAAGGTCCTATTAGAAGTTGTGTATACATTTAAAGTTTTTATGGCTTAACTCTCAGCCAAACAACAGACAGGCCTATGAGCTGAACAATTACATCAGGGAAATGCACTCTTCAGAGTAATCAACCATGGGCGAACAGAATGGCAGCAATTGCACAGGGAGAAAACTCAGGAGGAAGGAATGCATAGGAAAGAAGGACACAGGCAAAAGGTAACCACAGGGAGGAAATGGGAAGAGAGCTATTACATTGTGGGGATTATAACCAATGTCACGAAACAAAATGTGCATGAACTATTGAAAGGAAAATGAATCTGCTCTGGAAAAATTCACCCAAATCACAACAAAAAGTATAGAGAAGCAGAAAAATAAGTAAGATTGTTACATCTTAAAAAGATCATTTTTATTCCTGGCAATGCTGTCTCTCTTTAGGTTTATTTTGATTGATAATGATATAACTCACCCTTAACTTTTTAAAATTTTAGCTTAATTTCCTAAAGTTTCACCAAGAGTTGTCTAGATGTGGATTCCTAATTCTTAGTAACATTTATTTCAAACATTTTCTCTTCCCAATTCTTCTTCTTCTTCTTTTTTTTTTTTTTTAATTACTTTTCTTCTTGGGGTACAATTTGCCATTTGCTATACCTTCTCACTTTAATTTCCATGACTTTTTCAGATTTACCATCTCTTGGTTTCTCTGTGTTATTATATTGGGTATAATCTCTTATGAACTACTTTCACTCCACTAATAATCTCTTCAGCTCTGCCTGTTCTCCAGTTAAACCCTGTCATTGAGGTTTTGCTTATATTAAAATATGATATACTCCCTAGTGCCCTTGAGCTAGTGCTCTGAGTTGGAATCAATTTGATGGCACCCAACAACAATAAGTGACCTTAACAACACCCACAGTACTTACAGGTTGACCTCAAAAGGTTAAGAATGAATCCAGGTTCCCTAACAATAATTAGCCCATAAGCATCAAACAGTCAGATTTTCAGGACAGAAAGAGACCTCCCCATCTGCTCATCCTCAGAAGGAAAATAAAAGTCAACCAACAGTCCTTCAGTAAAAGTAACAAAAAGGAGCGGGGCGTGGGGAAGGGGATTGCTGTGCTTGGGTATACTGAATCTCATTATTGACTTGTTCAAGGTTATTCTGGTTTTTGACTTAGAAAGGAACACATCTATTCCTTTCCCAAACTAAGTTTGGGTTGGTCTTTAGACAGGACTCTGGGCTGGAACTGTGTTATTCATGTCTAATTCCTAGGGCTAAGTCTGTTGAAGGTTGCTTAATAAATATTTACTGAATTAACCAGATAACAATCTGAAAATAGTTGAAGGTCACTACCCTGAGGCCTCAACTCGTGGTTCAGAGCTAAGTAGATTGGAAATACCTCATATACAGGCAATACCTATTACAAATGAACAGATCAGCCCAGCCTCACTCCATAATATCTAGTGAGTTTCACCTCTGACAGACTTCCCAGAATCTGATGTCCTGTGCATCTGTACTTGGGGAGAATATAAGTTAGAGGGCGACTTGGAACCTCTCATGATGCCAATTTTTGCTTTAATCTGTGGGACTGTGCACTTGCTTAGCAGTTTATGTCCAACACAACTGGGGAAAGAGGAAGGGAACTGTAGATAATTGAACATTAGGATCCCCCCTGATCTGGACTACAGGAGGCTCAGAATATCAGGGCTGTACATGGTTATTTTGCTGATACAGTTACCAAAGGGCTCCAGATGGATCTTGAGACACTGCTCACTAGAGACCACACATTTTATAGGAGTACTAGACAAAAATTGAGAAGTCTGGCTCTGGTTGAACTGTCACTAACTTGACTTGCAATTTGGTAGATATTATGTAGCCTCTTTGTGTTCCTTGGGAGCTCTGATGGTGTAGTGCATAAGGCATTTGACTGCTAACCAGAAGGCTGGCAGTTCAAACCCACCAGCTACTCCTTGGAAGGAAGACTAGGCAATCTACTTCCACAGAGATACCACCTCGGAAACACAAAGGGGGGTGCTAGGAGTCAGAACTGACTCAATGGCAATAAGTTTGGTTTTTTTATGTGTGTGAGTGTTCCTTTACTTCTAACCATTAAGAAAAAAAATCCACACATGTTTGTTGGTGTCTGTTATTTAATTATGTTCCAATTTTCCATACACTTTTACCAGACATGTAAGTTGTTTGTTTTGTTTGTGTTTGAACATCTGGAGTCTAGAGTTCACAGTATAGAGCTCTGTGAAATATGGTGCCAATGAGAAGTTTCTTGTTATAAATGGTAGCCACGGTGCTGCCCTGCAGCACAGAGCCATTATTGGCATACAGTGTGCTCACCCTGGGCTTCTTGGACAGAATATCCTGGATGCGGAATACCTGCCAAGAGAAAACATTAGTCAGTGTACAGTGGGAACACATAGCCATTCAGTGATGGTTTCCTTCCCAAATATTTCAGGATGTATATGTTTTTCAGAGATAAGTATGTTAAAATCAGTGTATCTTCAATAGTTTTGTCTTCTTCTCATTAAAGTACGAATGTCCTAATGGTATCTAGCAACTAAACCAGATTGGTTATCTGACATTAGCCCAATTCCCCAGCAGATGACTTATGCAATTTTGATAGTTCAGACATTTCCTATAGAAGAAGGTAACAGCCAGTGGATATCCTTATCTAATTCTTAAACAGACCATTGTCCTCCTGTAGAAAGTTCTTGCCTTTGACTGAGCACACAGCATGGAGAGGGAAATGCAAGAGAAAATTAACAAAGGGACACCCAAATAGCCAGTCAACCCAAGTAGGTAATCAGTGGAATGACAGTCACCACAGAAGGTGGGGGTCACATCCAGAGAGTGGCCAAGAAGTTTAAAGAATGAGTACTTTGGAATTTAGTCTGACACATCACTGCCAGGGTTATTATTGATCCCCAGCATGAACACTTTACTTTGCTGACCAGTAATATATAAGAGCTCAGGCTTCTGAACAGCCTGGATGAAGCTCCCTTAAACAAAACAAAATAGGAATTTAAAAAAAAAGCAGCTGGAAATTCATCAGTCCGTATAGTCATCTTCTCTTATTACATTAGAGTTTTAGTTTGTGGAGTTTTTTGTTTTGTTTTGTTTTGTTTTGTCTTTAGGAAGATTCTACATGTTGATTTCAGATTTCTTACCCTAAAAGTATTCAGATTTAGATCTTTGTATGGAAAACATCTAGAGAGAAGGGCACTAGTGATTTTGAAAAGAAGTCTTATCTAAAATACACAAATGATTAAACTTGAAAAAATATATATATATATATAAAGGACCCTACACAATTAATTTTCAAGTCATTCTATGGATCATACCTTCATTCCCTTAAAGCAGACATAAGGAGTCCCTGGACTACTAACTGAAAGGCTGACAATTCAAATCCACCCAAAGGTGCCTTGAAAGTAAGGTTTGGTGCTCTGTCTCTGAAAGGTTACAGCCTTGAAAACCCTACGAAGCAGTTCTACTCTGTTCACATGGGGTCACAGGTGATGTGGATTGACTCCACAGCAAGTAACAACAGCAACAACGACAAACATTATAGTTATATATCTTGGGGAAAAGTTTATCAATGGATTCTTAGGGCATTTTTCTGAGATAAGGGTAGCTTCCTAGCTCAGGGTAGCAATTTTTTTGACTCTAGGCTCAGGCTGGACTTCTGTTTTTTTTTTTTTTGATGTTTTGTAGTGTTGTTTTTTGGAAGCTGTGAATGTTATGTCAATAAAAGTCTTATTTTATTAACTGAAGAACAGCAATATTAGAAGCAGAAGTAAGTACATGTTCCGTTCCTGATTCTCAGTTCTCAACTCCTGAAACTTGGGTTCAAACATTATCATTTCTTCAAATTTTACCTTCTCAATGAGGTTACACTGATCACTGGGTTTAATCAGAGGAGCTGCCTATCCATGACTCTGCTCTATTGTTTTTTTCCATAGAACTCACTACCTTCAAACATAATATATAACTTACTTGTTTCTTATGTTTATTGTTCATCATCTCTTCCTCCTCCTTAAGAGCAGGAATCTCTGGTTTTGTTTTCTGATATACCCTAAGCCTTAGAACAATCCTGATATATTATAGGTGCTAAGTAAATTTTTGTGAATAAACTTCTCAAAGCATATATGCCAAGAAATAATATCTATATTTAAATTCATTATAGCTTTTCTTCTTAAACTCAATGTCATAGAAAATTCAATGGTTTATGCTATTGTTTTAGAAGAGATATTTTTAAATAACACATACAGACAACACTTTTAAAATGAGACATTCACTAACAGCATCATGTATCTTAGGGTTTGCAGGCAAAAACTAATTTTGTTTTGAGACTACAATCAGTTAAATCCTATTATCTGAACTTCATGTCAGGTTGGGTGGAAGAAGACAGTTCCATATATGACGCTCCTTTTGCTTAACTACTGAGCCTGATTGGAGCCTACATCCTGAGTGGAAATATGATATGGCAATGTAGGTCAGCATGAATAATCAGGCTTATGTTTTCTCGTAACTGCTAATAACAAGTTAAACCCTTTTAATGAAGAAGCATGATCTCTGGCACCCATTGACATTACTGATGGCCTTAAAGAGTTAATGAGCCATATCTCCCTACCACACCAAAATCTTTAGTCTTTCCATATATAGATTTGTTCAGTTCCGAACATCACATATGACCTGCTTAAATTCTCCTGTTACCTCCACAATTTTTTTTTTTTTTTTTTTTTTTGCCCTTGCAAGTTTGCCTGTGAGCTGAGAGAAATCCAGGAACTCACTTTGGACCCTGGTGGATCCTTAGGGTTATAGATCAGCAGCTTCATGGCATTAGGATGGCATCCTGCTAAAACATCTCCTGTGGCAGGATCGACAGTTAAGTTATCCACTAAGGCGTCCAACTGTAGCACCTTCCAAAAAAGAAGAAGTAGTGAAGACATTGTCTCAACTTCCTTCCGAACCCCCCTTCCCTCCCACCACCACCTTTTTGCTTCTGAAATTGCTATTGTTCATGGGCATGTTGGAAGTGCAAGCACAATCTCACTAACATTCCTCTCAAATCATCATGTTTCCTTCATTGAAGAAGCACATTCTGAGGTCAAGTAAGAGGCCATGTTGTATGAACAAGTCAGGGAGCTTTTACCTTCTGTTGAGTTAAATTCCAGTTGTCATCTCTTTTCATTACATGAATGTTCTTAGCTGCTACGTCAGCTACAAAGACATACCTTTGAAGTGAACAATATTTTCATTTAAACATGTAGTAATGAGAGATGACATTAACTTTTATTTTGGAGAAGAGGCATAAAAATTCACAGTAGTTCAAAGTACCACTGCAAAGCCTTTCTAAAGCACAGTAAGAGAAGATAATGGAGTGCTATTTTTAATATTCTTAAAATGTTTTAAATAGTCTTTGAATATAATATATGACTAGAAAGTAATACAATTGGTGTTTTTAGATGACATATAGGCTCAATCTCATTACTTGCGAGTCACAATTTAGTTTTTGAAGGTGAAGGGAGGTCTATATGTTCAAACCCAAGTGCTTGAAAAGAAGTATCAGATGATCATGAAGCTCAGTCATTACCATTTTTTAAAAGGAAGCATACTTAAAAGTTGTTTTCTACAGGGAGCATCTCTGTTCATTATTTCAAATTTACATGTTAATATTCATGTACTTTTTTTTCATCTTCTATTTTTAAACAATTGAAAAGAGTATTTTCTCATAAAATCTCCTGCTGCATAAAATAAAGAGTGCTTCCTCACAGAGTATTCAGAGACAGGAGATCAACAAGTCTGCAACTACTCACTCACATGTCTAATCTAAGTTGGACTTCCTTTTCTAAGAGCTTTTGGTTAATTGAACTTAGTATAAGGGGTTAAATACCTTTTAGTCTCATGATAAGGATCAAGGTATCACATATTTGTTTTCCTCTTCATTGTGCTAAGTAAATATGTTCCTATAGTGAAGCAAGAATTTGGAACAAGGAATTTAGGTCCAAATCTCTCATTTTATTGTGGGAAAACTGAAGGATAAGAAGCCAAATGGTTTGCTTAATATGATACATTTAGTGTGAACCCTGGCTGAACCTATTCCCTCCACCACATACACTAACTACTTAAGGCTAAGAAGGAAACCATTTCTCTAGGGAAGAAGTCTATTAGAATGTCAGTGGCCAAAGGTAAAAGGTGGAAAATTCCAAGAGAGCTTACTGATTGTCTAGTGAGACTGTGATTCCATTGGCAGAACTAAATCCTTTGGCTACCACTTTTACTTCTTGTGGACTGTAGAAAAGAACGTAAGACCACTGAAGATCCAACACCATCTCTAATAGTGACAAGAATAAGTTGGTAAAATAGTGGTCTCTGGTGGCATAGAACTGTTCTGGTCCAAGCACCACAATGTCATTCACACTAATGTGGAAAAATAAAGAAAGAAAAGGAAAACAAAATAATCCATTAAGTATAGAAGTATCCTGATCATTTGTGAAAAATCACTACATTTCTATAAAGACCAATCTGTTCATCAGTTTGAAAAATTGTACATAAGTTAGTAGGAATGTGGTAAAGTAGAAAGTCAGTAAAAAAGAGGAAGCCCCTCAAAAGGACGGATTGACACAGAGACCGCACCAATGAGCTCAAACTACAATGACTGTGAGGATGGTGAACGATTGGACAGTGCTTTGTTCTGCTGTTTGTAGGGGTGCCATGAGTTGTAACTGACTCCATGGTGCCTAACAACAATTAAATAACAGGAATTAAATAATTTTAGAGAAAATGCATGATTTTGCATTGTCCTGATAGATTTTCTTTTAAATGTTTATTACTCATCCCTTCCACTGCAGTGAACAAAAACATAAGTAAAAATACAAATAAACCACAAACTACAAAATATGTTGATTTTTAAATGCTGATAGTGGTTATCTGTGTGTTCATAGTGCAGTTCACCAATATTTCTGTTTCTGGTTCTCTTTTTTATTTTGGAATTATACTTCTCTGTCCTCTTGAAGTTAGGCATAACCATGCTCTGGCCAGTGAAATTAAGGGAGATGTGCAGCTTTCAGATGGAACACTTTAAGATCCAGACTATAAGCCACCATGTTTCCCTCACTCTGCCACAGTATCCAGCAATAATTATTATAATAATAATACAGGGTGCCATCCTCCGAGGACCCTATGTGCAGAAAATATGGAATTGAGACTCTGAATCACCCATGTTGCATATGTAGCATAAATGAGAAAATACAATGCAACAAAAATAAAATAAAACTTCATGGTTTGAGCCACTAAGATGTTAGAGCTTTTTCTTTTCTGTTATTGTACTATATCCCTATCCATCCATCCTGACCATTACATTTTCTTTGAGTAGATGGGTAATATTCTTTCTTATTTATGTTCCTCAATACCATTAAAGTTTTTAAAGTAAGCCAGTCTTACTGTTACAACCAGTAAGAAACAACAGTCATTTCAATTTTGGGGGAAAAAAAAGTGATGACTTGGAAACATTAAAAAAGGATTAAACAAGAAGTAAATGGGAGGTATTACTTAAAGAGTACTGAGTTTCAGTAAAGGATGATGAAAAATTAAGAAATGAATAGTGATAATGGTTGCACGAGAGCTCTGGTAGCATAGTGCCTAAGACATCTGACTGCTAACCAGAAGGCTGGCGGTTCAAACCCACCAGCCACTCCTCAGAAGGAAGATGGGGCAATCTACTTCTGTGGTGATACTGCCTCAGAAACCCAAGGAGGGGTCGCTATGAGTCAGGTCTGACTCGGCGGCACATAACTACAACAATGGTTGTGCAACATAATGAATGCCATTGAATTTTACACATAAAAATGGTTGGAATGATAAACGTTTTGCTATATGCATTTCACCACTACCACAGTAAAAAAGGATTAAGCATTTTTAGCTTAAATTTTAGTAAAGAAAAAGTTGGATAAACAAACACTTTGAGATTTTGTGGTACAGCGACTTTCCCAAGATCAGTGAGCTACTCAGGTAGCTCAGATTAAATGTGCCTCCCTCCAAAAAGTATTCCCTGGAACCCTAGATGAAGTCAAATTCTCTCACAATTGGTTCCAGCAGCTTGCTGCTCTGCTCCCTTGTGTTTGCTTAGTCAATACGTGTATCCAGGCATTTCTTGAGCACCCTAGATGATGTGACATTCCCTCAGAATTGGTTCCAATAGCTCACAGTTCTGCTCTCTGTCATTGTTTAATCAATGTGTGTATCCAGTATCCATGCATCTCTTGAACACCTTTTCAAATCACTGTCTGTTATGAGATCTGACAGACTTCCCACAGATGCAACTTGACAGTATCTTACCTCTAGCTTGATGTGAACCTCTTACTTCCACCTCCAGTTTTCCCTGTTGACATCTAAGCTTAGGATGCCACAAGATGTGATTTGCACTTGCACGACCAAGAATGCAAGGATTGCAGGGGGCCCCTTGAGTTAATGGCCCTTGAGGTAAATCTTTGACTAATGGGAGATACAGCCAATGTATATATTCTTCTCTCTTTCATATCTTGGTCAGATTGTCCTGAAATGAGGGTTATATTGCTTATTAGAGGACAATCCTGTGATTTCAAGCAATCAGTGCACTAAGAAATGACTGATTTGATGATGGATTTGCTATGGGCTCTTTCCCTTCCCTGCCTCAGGCTGGTCTCTCATTTCTGCTTCCTAGGACTGGACTCAGGAGCTCTGGTAGCATAGTGGCTAAAGCACTTGCCTGCTAACCAGAAGGCTGGCGGTTCAAACCCACCAGCCACTCCTCAGAAGGAAGGTTGGGCCATCCTACTTCCATAGTGATACTGCCTCGGAAACCCAAGGAGGGGTCGCTATGAGTCGGGGCCAACTCGGCGGCACACAACAACAACAACAACAGGACTGGACTCCCTAATCAGGTAACATCATACTAGGTTTTCCCTTAGGTTGTGCTTTCTGGGGAACTCTGTTTTTGTGAGGTCATACCTTATTGCATTTGATCCTCACAATCTACCAGTTAGGTAAGTCAATCACTAAGAGAATCCCTATTTTATTGAGGAAATTGAGACAACATTAGTTTTTCTTATCCACAGTTTCACAAGCATCCTGGTCTTCACTGTGGTCCCAGATCCAGCACAATGCACCACAGGAGGAGTTCAATAACTTCAACTTCTCTGACATCTGCCCTCTCCTCTTGTTGTCCCCAAATTCTATGGAGGTGAATCCATTAGTGATGTTTAGAAAGAGAACAAAAGTGGGAGTCAGCTATTTTTCCTATATTTCTATCCTATATTCCCTTCCTGTGGAAAGGTCAAGCTCCACCATTTGAGATTCTACCTTTCAGTATTGAGCCCATTTTGTAAAACACAAATTCTTCATTGTTTGTTCCAGCCTTGAAACAGACAGCTTATTCACTAAAAAATTATTTTTCTGAACACAATAAGAAAGATGTTCATCACTGAAACAAAGAACCTCAATTTTCATTCAGATAGATCTAGTTTTACACTTTGATTCTGCCACTTATAATTGTGTAACTTGGGCAAATTACTTAACACAGAACTTCTTTAGTCTCAGTTTACTCATGTCTATTACCATAGGCTGTTGTGAGAATTAAATTAAGTGTTTTTGGCTTAGTGCCTAGCCCATTAAAACCAAAGCCGAACTCGGTGCCACTAAATCAATTCTGACTCATAGTGACCCCCATTGGGTTTCCAAGTCTGTAAACCTTTATAAGGAAACAGGCTGCCTCATCTTTCTTCCACAGAGTGGCTGGTGGGCTCAAACACCTAACTCTTTGGTTAGCAGAGAAATGCCTTAGCCTGGCCCACAGTCAATGCTTAATATGTGTGAATTTTTATAACTTTTTTCAAAGTCTACTTTAAAGCTCTAAGTGAACAATGAAATGGCCCATCTGGAAGTTGGTTATAGCACCCAGTGGATGAAGCCCTCACAATACATCCTACTAGGACAACTTGAAAAGGGTGTAGGTGTTTAAGAGAGAATATTGAGTTGCTGTGGTAAAGAGGATGGAATTAGAATGGGGAATCTAATTGGGCACCTTTATAGGATTAAAATGTTGGAGAATATAAAGATATTCAATACTGAATACAGCAATTTCTAGTAAGGTGCTGGGCCATGTTACCATGGGAACCTTTAGAAATCTTTAGAAAAAAGTGTTACTAAACAAAAGTTTAAGAATGCCTGCTGAAACCAAGAAAACAAAGCACACAGCAGAGGTGCAAAATAAATAGAAGTGTAAAATACTTTAATTCCATACCTTTGGAGAAGTTCGTGTTTTATAGTTTTCAGGTGTACAAGAGAATGCTGTTGTTCCTCAAATTTAAATATCTCCACTGTGGACATCATGTGGGGATGATTCACTACATAAAGATACACAGTATGGTCTGAAATGAAAAGAAGGAACACATTTATGTTTACTTCTATTGCAACACCATTATTTAACTTGGTGTAGAACTTTGCCATTTCCAAGGATTTTTCTCAAACATCTTTCATTTGATCCTCATAAACCACCTATTAGATAAGCTAAGGAAATTCTAGAACCCTCCTTTTATCGAGGAAATTAAAGCTCAGGAGGGTAGTGACCGCCTCAGCAATTTCATACCACCAAGTGGCAGAGTCAAGTCCAATGGTCTCTTCAGACTCACCTGCAAACTCCCTCTACAATGAATGGTGCTTAAGTACAGATGTGGTTTCCCAGGGTGGCCCTTCAACAAAAGAAGTGGGTGCAAGCAAACAAAAATTTGCTGAGAGTTATTTTTGTGTGTGAGAATTGTCTATATTGCAACACAAGCTCAGATACGTAAGGGCTGTGTAAATAGCTTAAAATAAGCAACATATGCCAGCGAGCGAATGGACTTCTGACAAAAGTCAACTACCTGAGGCTGCAATAACATTTAGTGAACCTAAGGGATATGAAATGAAAATATGAATGCAAGAGAACACAAACTAGCCAATTCCAGGTATTATCAGCCTCAAGAATGTGCACCTGTTTTTGTGTTGGAATGTGAATGGCATTGAGAATAGTAACCTGGCTTCTCACAGAGCTATTTTCTGAGGTAATAGGTGCTCTAAGTAGGAATGATCTCTGGAGTTTTACAGGGAATGGCTCTACCGGCCCACTATAGGACTTGATCTGCATTCTTCTTTCTTATTCCTATCCTTAGCACAGTTTCCAAGCATGTGATGGAGCAAGCCCAAGCCCTAAGATAGAGAGAGTAGTCCCCTGAAACACACAGGGCACCATTACACAAATTAGGAAAAGGTGTTTTCTTTAGATGAATCTTTCCTCTGTTTGATTTAGCTTTGTGCCAGGGCCCTGAGCTTGGCAAGCAGTGCCTGGTCTGGACCTCAGACACACCTCAGCCAGGTAGTCTTGCTGCACATGGACTGAATCATAAGTGCTGCCCTAATTTTCTGCCTTGAACTCCTATGTCTCCACTGGTCCCTCTTTTCTTCTCAGATGCTGCTAAGAATACTTTTGTTCTCTATCTCCTCATTCTTACTCAATTTCCAGATGTAATGTTTTTCTCTTATGAATTAGATATACAACAAAGGAAGGTGACTAAGAAAATAAGCTGTCAATCACAATATATCTAACTTCTGAAAGCCTTATTATATATGCCTAGGGTTCAATCTGCAAACTAGTCTCATCTCAGTAAAACAAAACCAAAAACAAACAAGTAAATATTAAACTAAAAACTCCACTATCTCATGCAGTGAAATGGCTCCAGGTTTATGTGATCACTCATTATGCCCTCTCAAATAAAGCAAGTAGGGTGTCTAGTAGGGTGTCAAGCAAGAAAGTGGGGACGTTCAAAGTATTGAAATGAAGCTAGAAATCCAATACTGCTCCTGGAAAGGGGACAGGACAAAAAGCAAGACCACGCGGGTTCTAGTTCTGGATCTGCTATTAACTAACTAGAGAAATGAAACTCCACTTCAATGTATTTCCCTAAACCCCGTTTTCCCCGTCTATGAAGTGGCGTATTAACATCTGCTCTGCCTGAATCTTGGGCTTCATTCATATGTTCATTTAATACAAGTTTATGAGGCACCTACTGTGCATCAGTTACTGTTCTAGATTCTGGGCATCTGGAAATGAATGCGTCACATACACTTTTATGGTGCTTATAACCCAGAGTGGAAAGCAGTGGAGAAATAATTAGCAAAAAACTGAAAACAAAGAATACTGAAGTGGGGAAATAACTTCTTTATAGAGTGTCACCAACTTTAAGAGTGACAGTTAAGCTTGGATCTGAAAATGAGAAGGAGCTTGCCATAGGCCAATAGCAGGAGTTGGAAAGAACGTTGATATCTTCTAACAACTAAAAACATTAATTACTGTTTTGATGAGTGCTAGAAGGAGAAATCCAAGGTACATAACGTGGAACAAGATGGTGCAAGAGCTTCTCTGAGAAGGCAGTCTTTAAGTAGATGCCTAAATGATGAGAAAGGGTAAGCTAGCAGTGCTGAAAAGACATTGCAGGCAGAGAAAACAGCAGATAAATACAAAGGGCCTGAGGGCTTAAAGCATTTTACAAAGCTGAAAGAAATCCAGTGTGGCTGATCCAGAGTTCCAGGGGGACAGTGGCATCCAGGGAGGCTGCAAAGACAGCACAGAAATAGAAAGGAGGGGTAGAACCCACAACCCCAGACCATTCTAGAGATTTGGGATTGATCCTCAGAGTAACAGGAAGAGAGTAACATGATCAAATTTGCAACAAAATTACTGTGGCTATTAAAATGGACTGACGTGATATAAGACGAAGATGGGGAGAGCATTTGAGGGACCACTGAAGAATCCAGGGGAGACATATTAGGGGCTTGGACAGGGATGGTGGCAGTGAAAATAGGAGAAGTAGAGATTTGACAGGTAGATTGGACAGAACTTTGTGACAAGTTGAATGAATAAGTCAGGGGAGAAGGGAGGTGTCAAGGTTGGTCCCCAGGGTTTTATTTTAAGCAATAAATAAACTATCATATATGAAAGTGCTTTGTAAACTATAACGCAATACACACTAGTTAGGTATAATTATCTTTTAAAGCAGAGCTTACTAAGCAAATAAATAGTACATATAAGATTTCAGGATAATATTCACCCTACTTAATAGAGCAGTTTTTGGTTTTTTTTTTAAAGCAATCCATTTATTTATAATTGAACAAGTCTGTATTGGTGTAGACCAAGGGAAATGAACAAAGATCTGCTAGATAAGTGGCTGTTTGTTGTTGTTATGTGCCATCGAGTCAGACCTGACTCATAGCAACCCCTCCTTGGGTTGACGAGGCAGTATCACTACGGAAGTAGATTGCCCAACCTTCCTTCCGAGGAGTGGCTGGTGGATTTGAACCTCCAGCCTTCTGGTTAGCAGTCAAGTGCCTTAGGCACTATGCTACCAGAGCTCCTGGATAAGTGGATAAGTGGATAAGTGGATTGTTGTTGTTGTTGTTGTTTGCCGTCGAGTCGGCCCAGACTCATAGCGACCCCTCCTTGGGTTTCCGAGGCAGTATCACTACGGAAGTGGGATTGCCCAACCTTCCTTCCGAGGAGTGGCTGGTGGGTTTGAACCGCCAGCCGTCTGGTTAGCAGGCAAGTGCCTTAGGCACTATGCTACCAGAGCTCCTGGATAAGTGGATAGAAGTAATTATTAATCATTCTGTTCCATTCATTAAAATCAGATTTACACTTAATAGTACTTTGTAACTTCAGTATGTACTTGGAGAATTAAAAATCCTATTTCTTTAAAAATTCTGAATTTCAGTTCTCCAGTTTGGATGTAGTAACAATCAAAAAGGTTTCACTGCTCTTATTTTTCTACAAGCTGTTAGGATCCATACATATTTAAAAATTAGTCTGGAATTTTGAAATATGAACAGGTCAAAACAAATATTAGAAATTATTGTTTTAAAGCATATATAATACACTAATGACTATGTTTTCTTTTAATAATAGCTTTCTTATGGTCTAATTAACACACCACACAATTCCTTTTTAAAATATACAATTTAGTGGTTTTTAGTATCATGATTGTGCAACCATAACTACTCTCCAGTTTCAGAACATTTTTATCACCCCAAAAATAAACTTATCTATTAATCATCACTCCCCATTCCCTACTTCCCCAGTCCCTGGCAGCCATTCATCTGTTTCCTGTCTCTATGAATTTGCCTATTGTGAACACTTCACAGAAATGGTATCATATAAGATGTAATCTTTAGTGACTGACTTTTTTCATGTAGCATAGTATTTTCAAGGTTTAACCATGTTGCAGCATGTATCAGTACTTCATTCCTTTTACTGCGAAATAATATCCCACTGTACAGCTATACCATATTTTGTTTCTGGTTGTTGAGCATTTGGGTTGTTTCCGCTCTGACTATTATGAATAGTGTTGCTATGAACATTCATGCAGTTTTTTTATGTGGATACAGTTTCAATCCTTTGGGTACATACCAAGAAGTCAAATTATTAGGTCACATGATAAGTATATGCTCAATGTTTTGAGGAAGTATCAGCTTGTTTTCCACTATTCTGTATTACACGCCTATCAGCAATATATAAGCATTGCAATTTTTCACATACTTATCGACACTTGTTATCGTGTGCCTTTTTTATTATAATCATCCTAGTGGGTGTGAAGTAGTATCTAATCATGTTTTTGATTTGCATTCCCTTACTGACTAATGATGCTGAGCATTTTTTTCATGGGCTCATTGGCCATTTGTATCTTTTTTGAAGAAATGTCTATTAGGTATTTTGTGCATTTTAATTGGATTGAGTTATAAGAGTTCTTTAACATGTCCCTGATAAGACATTTAATTTGCAAATATGTCTCCCATTTTTGTGGGTTATCTTCTCATTTTTCATGGTACCTTTTAAAGCACAAAAGTTTTTTTTTATTTTGATGAAATTTAATTGATCTATTTTTCCTTTGGTTACATTATTATTGTTTTTTTAAAATGTCACAAAATTGTTTTCAAAGACTCCTTAGTGTTTATGTTAAATTTCTGACAATGGTATTCAAGCTGGCTGTGGGAGTCAAATACGAAGGGAAGAAGAGCAGGAGAAAAAAGAGGAGACCATCTGGAGCCCAAAGGACCAGTTTGCTTCTTTACTACAATGTTTAAAAATGTTTGTATAAACATATATCCTGTTATAATGTACATCTTTATGATAAACTAGCATCCCCTTACTTTTATGTAAATGTTGAGTAGTTGGGCATGTGTGGTTTGGATAGCCTTCATTTCCCTCTTATTCTTATGCATTCAGGCTTTACCTTTGTCAATGAAAGTACTGATCCCGTGTGGATTAAATGATGCTTTGTCAAATCCATCACTGATTTTCAGTGCCTGTGCCCTTGGGTTTTGCTCATTCAGGTCCATCAAAAAGATTTTTCCTGGCTCATCTGGTTCAAAACTTGGCATGCCTGGATATTTTAATCCCTTTAAAAAAATGGAGAATAAGTAAGCGCGTGCACGCACACGTGCACACACACACACACATACACTTCAAAACATCATTTTTATACTGAAGTTAAAATCTCAAAGTCGAATAAAAATGTTCAAAGCTCTAAATTTCTTCTAGATTTCTGGGAGTTTCCACAATGTCAGCTGTTGTCATTATCTGATCGGGGAGCTGCCAATGTCATCTAAGCCTTGGTCATGAATATAGGAAGAACCAAGATGAGATGGGATTTTTAACATGAGAGAGTAGGAGTGAAGTCAAAGAGTATAGCACAGGAGACTCAACTGTGTTTATTTGTGTCAGCCCCTTGACCTACCTGTGCCTCAGGTTCCCTATCTATAAAATGAGCAATTTTAACAAGTGATTGCTAAGATCTTTCCAGTCTTGATATTCTACAATGAACTCTTCTCAAAGCAGAGAGAAAGGGGTCATGGTTTCATTTGATTGATCCAATCCCCAGATTGGTTTTGTGTTGGCAAGAAGTAGAATTAGGCCAAGAATTAACATAGGGTTCCTGGGTGGTACGAATTGTTTGTGCTTGACTGTTAACTTAAAGGTCGACAGTTTAATCTCACCCTGTGATGCCATAGAAGAAAGATCTGACCATCTGCTTCCACAAAGGTTACAGCCAAGAAAACCCTATGTTAACTCCTGAAACCATTGTCTTGAGATAATCTTTAAAACTTTAACAAAAATATCCCCTGTTCTTAAAATAGAACAATAGTTTAGTTTTAACTAGTAAAAACAGGTCTGACTTGAGCATTATGTTCTTTAAAGAGCTATCTATATGGGACCAAACAATAACAACTAGAAAGATTAGATAGGAACTTCAGGGGGCATTGACTTTATGTTAATGAGAGAGGAACAAGTTAGAAAGGGTGGGTGAGAATGGTTGTACAACCCTAAGAATGTAATCAATGTCACTAAATTGTACATGTAGAAATTGTTGAGTTGGTGTCTGTTCTGCTGTTTATATTCTGAGCAAGAAGAAATTAAATAAAATTTAAAGAAAAAAATTCAGAACAAAGTTCTATGGAGCAGTCCTACTCTGTAACACATGAGGTTGGCATGAGTCAGAATTGACTCAATGACAATGGGATTGATTTTATGGTTTCGACCAGTCCCATTCTAGTTGACTATTCCTGACCTATTTTATCCTTATAGGTATGTCTGAAAATTCTGACATGAATCCTTCTCTACATATATCGCAAAAAGCTCATTCCAGTAACTTGAAGAGGAGCCCTTTTTACTAGAAGTACCAGGAGTTTAAAAACAGGCACCTAAATGTTAGGTCTTTATTGTGTCCCAGGTCATTGTGACAAACTTTGGGGTTGGTTTATTCTACATCAACTACAAAACTCAGCCTACTTCCTCCTCATATCTCTCCTCCATCACTCTTACATATAATAATATAAATAATTTTATATCTTCTCTTGTATTCTCATTCCCATTTATGCTCAATGTAAACTCCCTCCTTCATATCCTAACTTCTGTCTGTCTTTCTGTCTGTCTTTCTCTCCCTCCCCCCTCCCCACACACTAATAATAATACTATTCTTGGCCCTTCTACTAGGATTGTCATTCTTTCCTGAACAAGCCCACCTATATCTTCAAATTTTCTTAGTAAAATTCTTCCGTGCATGCACCTTATGGAGAAGCTGGCTTTTCCCAAACAACACTGCTCATCAGAGCAAGTGCCTCTCTCATTCTCCTTATGTCACCACAGGAGGATCAACATGACCCTGGCTACAAACCTCTGCTTTCAGACCTCAAATGTATCATCATAATTTAATAGCCCTTCTTCTGTGGAAGTCACCCCCTTGGCATACTCCTTCTTTGTCAAATCCTCCACCAACTGTCTTTTGCCTAGTTCCCATAGGGCAAATCTAAAATCATGGTGAAAAACTGCACTACAAAGTAATTATCCCAACTTCAGCCAGAGATTCAGTCCTGTTTATCAATCCTGTGCTCATTATGATAGCTAGTCTATTGTATTTCTTCAACTATCTATTCTAAATTTGTTTCATTATCTTCCAGAGCTAACCTCTTCTGCCTCTTTATTCTCAACAAATGACTTCACCTTCTACTTCTTGAAAACATCATGCCATTTTAAATGAATTTCCTCTAATTCTCTCCTGACTGTCTCACTATTTTTTCTTCATTTTTATCCATCTTCTCCATTCTCCCTCTTTTCTCAAGGGAAAGGTATTCCTCTTCTGTTCTTAGCTAACACCTCCACCTATTGTGGGAGATTGTTCTTCTCTAGGGCTGTCTTTATAAATTATATTCCCTCTCTTTTGCTTTCCCACTCATATTTCATCAATGTTCCCTTCTTTGGCCTTTTCAATTGCTCATATTTCTTCTTCTTTGTAATAAATCTTCTAAATTTTCTACCTCTTCAAACACACATTTCTTATCTCTCCTTGTTACTATCAAACTTCTCATAAACATCACCTGATATTTCTTCCTGATTTGAGTTTCAACTCACAATTCCTTGAAATAAGTATCTACTACTACCAGTTTAGGAGCTCTGGTAGCACAGTGCTTAAAGCACTTGACTGCTAACCAGAAGGCTGGTGGTTCAAACCCACAAGCCACTCCTCGGAAGAAAGGTTGGGCAATCTACTTCCATAGTAATACCACCTCGGAAACCCAAGGAGGGGTTGCTATGAGTCGGGTCAGACATAACAACAACAACTACTAGTTTACAGAAACACCTCTATACAGATCATATCAATGATCTCCAAAATATCTTGATTATCCCTGTACCTATTTTCCTCTGCATCTCTGTAGCACTTAATAATATAGTATAGTCCCTTATTTCTTGTCAGGAAGTCAAAAGCAGAAAGAGTTTCCAGATAGAAGATCTGATTTTCTTCTTGTCTCTTGGATTTCTTCCTTCTTCTGTCCTCATCTTTCCCTCTTCCCTTCTCACTCTATAGTCATTGTTTGCAGATCTCATTTATAAGGTTTCAGGCAATTCCTCTGTACCATTGTCTTCCATACCTCACAAGGCTCTCAAAATATTCATATGTAGCTGTAAAACTCTTTCTATAACTCTAGTTTGCAGTCTCAGCTTACTTCTACGGGCAGCTCAAAATCAACTTGTCAAAACCAAATTAACATTACCTTTCCAAAGCTTCTTGTTTGTATCTATTCTTCTTTGGTTTAGATATTACCGATCTCCCTAATACTGGGCCATGTAATTTGAGTCCACCCTTTCCCCAATAGTCAATTTGCCACCAAGCCCAGTAACTCGAATGGCTTTAGAAAAAAAAAGTCAAGATCATCTGATCCCACACTTTCCCTTTTCACTTGAAGAAACTGAAGCACAGAGATGTGATTTGCCTAAATCACCAGATTGTTAATTGAACAGACTGCTGAAAGTACAGACTACTTCTCGGGAAGACAGCTCAAAGGGGAATACTACAGGTACCTTGGTGGCTTAGGAACATGAGGACACTGTCAGCTAGTTGAAGAGCAATATGTTCTGGAAATGGAAAGATCTGATAGGGAGGTAAGGATGGGGCATTGTAAACAAACTTAACCTAGATTAAGTGTGATAATGAATAAAACTCCTCTGGCAAATGGCTGCACACTCAACTATTTTTCTGTTCAAGTCAGTTAAGTAAGAATTTATGGCCATATGATTCCTTAAAAAGCTGGAATTAGAAATACCATATGACCTAGCACTAGGTATATATCCTAAAGAAGTGAGAGCCAGGACAAGAACAGATATATGCACACCCACATTCATCACCACACTATTTACAACAGCAAAAAGATGGAAACAACCTACATGCCCATCAACAGAATAACAGATAACCAAACTATTGTACATGCACACAATGGAATACAATGCAACACTAAAGAATAATGTAGAATCTGCAAAACACCACATAACATGGATGAACTTGGAGGACATTATGCTGAGTAAAATAAGTCAATATAGTATTAGTTCATTATTGTAAAAAGTCAAGGAAAGGTTTATATATGGAAGGAAACTTTCTTTATTGGTTACCAGGAGTTGGGGGGCAGGGAACACTGCTCCTCCCCAAAAAAATGCATTGACTCATGTCACTTTAATTTGTGTATTTCACTGTACATAAATTATATTTCAATAAAATGTATTAAAAAAAATAATTTGTGGCCAGAGCCTCACTAATATGCTAATGATTATAAGCTATTCTTTTGATTTGTTCACCACTGTAAATGGTGACAGTCACTTAAAGGTGCAGGCATCTTATTTAACACAGGGACTGAAAGCCTTCACGACCTTCACTTACTAGTGTGTGCATTCAGCAAATATTCAGTAATATTTGAGCACTTGTATATGCCAAGTAGTATGTTAGGTTCTGAGCATGGCAGGGAACACCCGAAGTGTTCCGACCGGTTGAAGGCCAATGACACAGCAAGAAGCAAACCCATTAGCATAGTATAGTATGTCATTGTCCAAGCACAGGGGATGTGGGAGACCACAGGAAAGGCACCTCACCCAGCAGAAGAGTGTTACGGAAGACTTTCTGGAAGAACTAAAATGCTACCACAGAGACTTTCAGAGAAATAGAAGTTAACTAGCAACACATGAAGAAGGGTGTAATCTTGCAGGCAGAGCACAGCATTCAGGAAAGCATTTAACCTGTTTGCTACCTTTCAATAGACTAAAAGCGTATATTGCATGAAATTAGTCTCTAAATCAGCAGCTTCCAAATATAATGTTCTAGGATGGCAAGAAAGGACGGTAGGAGAAACCAAAGAGAACAAGGACTTGAATTTATTATAGTTCAGAAAGATTAAAAAAAAAAAAAAAGTAAAGAACATGATCCTTTGCCTATAAACATGGGTTGGTTGCGTGTTAGTTTACAAAAAGAGCTCTATTATTTAGAGTTTCTTGTTAACATTTCTCATGGAATTATTTGTGATGAAAATCTCTATTTTCATTATAGCAATATTTTAGTGTTTTCAGTTCCAGTTAAAATAAAATAAAAGCATATAATAGGAATGACAAATATGATTCCTAACAGCAAAGCAATCTCCTAGCTATAGAATAATCATTTTTAAAGGTCTGTTTGGCATAACATTGAAAATATAAATTGACAATGTTGTTGTTATGTGCC